TTGGGAAGAGAGGTCACTCTAGCGGGGATATCTTACTTAATTTGATTTTGGCCTTGAGGAAGCTTTGCTGGCAGGGTTTGTGGTAATTTGTGTCACAGACTGATTTTGTGGAAATCACGTCAAATCTGTATGCAAATATTTTTATGCGGTTAGATGATATTGACCAACCAACCATTAGGAGGTGACCATGTACACGCTCATAGAGGCCAACGACTTTTGACGTGTGTACTTTACACACTCAGGTCATAGTGAGCAGAAGCTAAGGACTCTATCAACAGAACTCAATGTGAAATAGAACACTTTGAATTGGAGCAAGCGTTCATTGTGCATAAACACAAGTGGAAGCTGTTTTGAAATGGGAGTGTAACGATGCGCTGAGCAATTTCAAACCGCACATCGACCAGAGGAAGAATGAAGCAACCGTGAAAGAAATTAAACGATTTTTTTAACGTCAAACCATTATAGAGAGCAAAGATTCAAAAAGTTATTTCAGCATTGCAAAAAAGATGTCATCGTATAGGAAATTCTACACACACACACACACACACATCAGCACATTTGACCATGCTGCTCTGGCTGATTTTATTAGGGACCTTCGACATGCGTTTTAGTATTTCTGAATAATTTAAAATACACCAATTATTAAAAGGCACTAAATGTTCATACTTACTGGTTAATCTAACTCAACTCTTCATCTATCAGGGAGATTCACACAAGTCTGTGAGCCTTTGTGTTAATGTAGGTCAATTTCTTCGGCAGAGTGTCAACATTGATTACCATTCCACTAGCCTTAAATCGGTGAGCACAATTCGAAAAAAATAAGTAAACCTTGTAAAGTCAAGTGGCTATACAAATTGATGGTAATAATGGTCTAACAAATTCGAATCGTTTTCATCAACCACTACCATATCTTTATTTCCATTTCACAGGGGTGTGTGATAGACTTACCTCCACGTGGTGCACCCTGGGCAACGTATTCTCATACGGCAAAAAAGTCTATAAACCGGCAGTCGACTTCTGACTTCAAACTACCATGATCCCACTGTATGTCTTATTCGATCACTTCCATCATACTTATCCTACTTTTTCTCCGCTTTTGTGTCTGTCTTTCTCTCCTACATCTGTGAATCACTCTTCTGTCCCCCTCCCTCTCCTTTTTTTCTCACTTTGATATTCCTCCTTCCCTCTATGAAGCCCGAAGTCAGCTAACGCGCAGACGATAAGTAACATGAAGCCCGCCATTTGAAATAAATAAATGATACACACACAATATCCTATTGATAAGGAAATTCTTATGAGAAAGTACCTGTTCCGGAGCAAAAGAGTAGGACGATCCACTCATGCCGATTGTGGTGGCTGCAGGAGCATTTTTGGTTGCCCAACCAATTCGAACCATTCCATAGGTAAGGATCTCAACCTCATAATACCTGCAGAGCAAAATTAAATGAAATTAACGTAGACACTGCAAGGGGGCATAAAGGCTCAAAGTTATTCCACAATTATTTCCAGCCTCCTTGAATCTAACGTTTTGGGGGTAATAATAATAAGTAGAAGTTTAAAAAATTTTCATTTGAAAAGTTGGAAATGCTTGGAGGATCAACTTTCCTGCGTGAAATGGAAAAGTTGGCAGAATGACTTTAGACCCCAATTCGAACCTTCCTGGGAACTTTCTGATATGTGATTAACTAATCGTTAATATGCACTTTAACGGTAAGGAGATTCAAATTAAAAGAGTAATAACACTCAGGAATAGACGAGGCGTTAGACGGTTAATACGGTGCACAACAAAGGCTTACTTTCCTCAGTACAACCAGCTAACACAATCTACTGTCTGTAAGGAAACAGATTAAGGGTTTAGGGTGGAATAAGTGCTGAAAGAAGAGAAACCCGCAGAACACTCACCACTTTCCACGGGTTACCGCCTTTGAGGAAGCCGCTCGATAATTCATGGTTGCTTCCTCCAACACATCCAATGGATTTTCACGGGCTGAAAGGAAGTAATTGCAAACGATGTTAGAAACTAGACTCTATCACGGCATTTGCATCATCTAGTTGGTATTGAATATAGCCAGTCTAAATTTGAAAGTAGTAGTATCATTAAATGTTCAAATACATCCACAAGTGTGCTCATAGTGAGTACTCACATTAGCGACTTGAATTCTCGCACTACCTAGTTGCTATCCTGGCTAACAATGAAAAAGAGATTAGCCAATAGATAATGCTACTCACTTTGCTCCGATTCACCAGACACAGGTTCAATAACGTATCCGTAAGCCAGAAGGGTCTTCACAGCGTCAGTAGCCGATTCACGATTCAACTTCTTGATACTGCTGTTCACTTCAGAATAAGGCACCAGGTGTGGACTTCGTTTTTGGGCATTGTCCTATGAAACAAGACAAAGTCATTCCAGTAGAAAGAATTGGGGAAAAAATGTTGTACATAAACCGAATTCTGTGTAAAGTATTGATTATTTTCAAATGCGTGGTTATTAATGGTAGTTAAATATTGATCAACCGACTCACTTCAGTCGATCCATAGGTCCAGCCTTGACTAATTCGATCTTTGGCCCAAATGTTGTGTGTATTTTCGGCCAACTCATCAACCAAGGTTTCCAAACGCGAGGAGAGTCGAATTGCAGACAAGTCCAGTGGTTGGGGCTTATAACCGTTGGACTGGGTGAAGCTGAAATGATGGAAAAAAAGGGTAATTCGATAGGAGAGATCCGTTTAACATTGATTACTCCATGCTTTGTTGAAAGTAACTCAACTGGACAAAGCGTGTACCAGAGTAAAGTTATTGTCTTAAATTAAAGCGTCGAGAGGTTGAAAAGCTGCACTGGCATATATATATATTTCAGGAGCTTAGAACTTACGAGGGTCCCAATTTGATGGTCTTCATGCGTGTTCCTTCGGGAAGGCTCTCATAGCCGATGTTGTATCGAAGCGCGAAGATTGTTTTCAAGTTCTCCAATGCCATTGTCACATTGTACAGACGCTCCTGTTGTTGAAGCTTATCGAAAGCACAGAGACATGGATGACG